TTAATAATTAAAAGTATTACAACAACCTTATTGCATTAGCACACTACTCAATGTCTCAATTATTATAGAATAATTGAAAGTATTGAAATGCAATTGTTACTTTAGCATACTACTCAATCTCTTAATTGTTATTAACAATTGAAAGTAGTTCTGAGGTATCTCGTTTTATCAGATTAGAGGGGCTTCAAATCGTCAACATCTGCGCCAAATCCATACCGGTATCGGGATTGTACCCTTTTGTTGCACATCTACATTGAAATTCTCTTAGCAATAACCAGTGACCAATCGCTTGTTGGATATCGCAAATCCCATTCTGATCGCTACAGAATGGCCAGACGTCAAGTGGACGCGGGAAGATATCACATAGATAGTAGAAGAATGTCAAATGGCCATTATAAGACATCTCAATATCCAAAGTATAGAATGACTCATGAAGTACTTATCTCAACCCAAGATCGCTCATGTTCAGAATTACTATGTTGTGGAAGTGAATTGAACAAGACCCATCTTCGAATGAGGATTCTATCAAACCCCAAGGGGTCCCCCTTAGTTTTTTCGATATGTTTTACTTTACTATTCTACTACCTTATAGGATATGTATGTGACTTTCGAGTGATATAACTTCTAGCCGTATAAGTAGTAGGCATTAATATCTTTTTACAATTGAGGAGTATATGATGTAGTAGGTACCTATTGATATCTTTTTATAGTCGAGGAGTATATTAACTATGCAAATATCATTTTCATACTATCTTACCATCTCATCCTCATAAAATATCAATAAAACAATTCATCTGTATTCCATATCTCATCACTATTCAACTCCCCTTTAATACTCTAGTCAGTAGTACCATCTACCTCAATATCCTTCTCTCCCTCTCTCTTTTTCTTCCCTCCCTTTCCATCTTCTTTTCTTTATTATTCAAATCATTCTACTACCTATCCTATAATTCTTCATACAATCTCATCCAACCCACTCCATATAGTTAATTATAATACACCTATTCAAATCTACATAAGCATTCATATATATCTTACAAATCTTACATCACAATCCTATTCCTTTTCTTTCTCATTCAGATAACCCTCAAGTATATATTCAGAACTTCATTTCCTTACACTCCTATCTTCCCCTTTTTTCTTGATCTTCTATTATCATATATCAAACTCTACACAGATCACTATCTACCAAGTTATATGATTCAAGTTCTTTAAGTCTTATCCTTATAATAGAATGTTATGTTCATTTATATATAATATTCTATTCCTCATAACATTCAATACCTATTTAATAATGTTACAATACTCAAACCAAGAAATGTTTAAAGATAAACATATATTAAGTATATACATACACCTGCATATAAATCATTCTCAATCATAACTTCTTTCGAGAATCTATTTCAACCACTCAACACAACGAAAGAATAAAGAATAAAAGAAAACATTCAAATATAAACATCTTTCACTTCTACATCCATTCGATTCTATGCATAAATCACACCATTACAGAAATACATTCTTATTATTCATCTATCTACTCAAAAACTATGGATCATGGAAAATACTCCTTTCTCATATCGAGAGATGAAATATTCCTCTCTAATGTTAAGAGACCACATGTTTATTTTAGATGCGGAGTAATCAGGAAAGATGAGGAGAGAACAATGTAGTATAATCTTGATGAATGTATATGTATAATAAGAGGAATCGGGGGACTGGTTGATGTTAGGTATGGGATGATATGATAGATAATGAGTTAAATCATTTATCATGGGATTGTATTCTCATCTACCTGTTCTAAGATGAACATAAAAAATATTCATTCATTATCTATGTTGAGGGATACATGTACTCTATTCTGCTAATCAATCATCTATTCCAGTATTGTAGTTTCATTATCTATATTAAGATCTATAATTGAATGTCTACCTTACGGTTAGAGATTCAACACTTGCATCATCCTGAGTAGTCTTCATCCTCACATGTCTTTTCATACCTAGGTAGGCATCTTGCAATCATATCCTTATTGCCACAATGAGTTATTAATAGTCTTCAAGGCCTCATCATGTCAGTTCTTTATTAACTATCCAAAACTGACAGATGTCTTAATTTCAGAGCAGTCTGCATACATGTCAATAAGTCTTAATTTTATTTCAACACAAGCTCCAACCAAATATTAGAATTTTTAAACACCCGACCAACCGCCTTTGTGGAGTCAATAACCTATTGTCTTCCATTTTCAGAACTCCCCTTCGATAACAGAAATGAAAGTGACAATTCGAACAATGTAGTGTTGCTCAGGAACTCAGTAGATCCTTCACACTCATTCCTCGAACTCCACTAAAACTCGCGCCTCTACGATCTGAATTAAGCATCAACAACGCCGCGCTTGCTTCCTCATCTATGTCCCTTTGATCTCTTTGCGGTATGAGAGCAGGACTCGTGAGTGCCGATCCTGCCGACGCAATACTTCGAGCATAATCATAGACTGAAGCACCTAGAGCGGGAGATGTGGTTGATGAGGTACTGATGCTATAATGACGAGAATCTGTCGAATACGAGGAATATGAATCTTGTCTTTGACGGGAATCTTGTGGAAGCATGGCGGGCGATGTTTGTTGGGATGGGGGTGTAGGTGTTGTGTAACGATTAGATAGATTTTCTGAACCAGCCATTTCTGTATCTTCTTCTGATTCACGTGTGGAAAAATCATGTCGTGATGGATCATAGCTCCCACGATGTGCTGATGGCGGTAAGGTGAATTCTCCAGTGCTTGTAGAGAAGTTACCCCGAGAATTCTCGGCCTTCAGCTTGGAGACACAATCTTCGAGATATCTCACGTAATCGATAGATGCCTATTAAATATTAGCATGTGAAAATTGGTGGGATATCTGATCTACTACTCACTTGTAGAATTGCTAACTTATGCATTTCTCCCGTGCAAGCCGGTATCATGTCTTTCAATACACCAAATTCCTCATTCATCTTTGACCTCCTACGACGCTCGATCAAGCTATGTGCAGTCTTCCGTGCAATCTTCCGTCCAGCCACACTTGTTGAGGAGGGTTGCTTCTTCTTGGGCGTATTTGAGGTAGGTTTCCCACCCGACTTCGTATTCTCTGCAGGTGTATTCATTGCCTCATCACTTTGCCCTCGAGGTTTCATTTGTATAATCTTTCGGGATCGAGTAGGCGGAGGTGGTAATGCGAAGGAATCTTTCGCAGTGGTCTGTGTAACAGGTCTTCGACGAAGCTTCACAGCTTCACTTGCAGGAATGGCTGGGGAGATTGGGGAAGCGGGTTGATATGAGAAGGCAGATGATGCTTGGGTAGAGGAACTGGTTGGTCGAGATTCCACTCCTGCTACAGCAGGAGGAGGGAGTTCAAATGACATCTGTAGTGAAGAGTAATTCGAACCATCTTTTCCCTTGATTTCTGTTGACGAAGCTGGAGTAGGAGGATGAGTTGGGCGAGGCATTATGAAATGAGGTATTTAGGTAACTTGACTTGGTCTTGTGCTCAATAGAGAAGGTCCTACCGCGTATTACGATAAAATTGACCCTTTTGACTCAAATTGAGGCAAATACTTTCAAGATATGGATAGGAAATGACTGAAATATGGCAAAATGTGAACTTTTGAGAAAGAGGCGCTCTGTAAAGAGCTTGAGAGTAGTCGAATGTTAGGAACCATAAAACAATCTCACTCAACTTCGGAGAAATCAAGAGAATTGGAGGATAATGAACGAAGGAGAGAAAGACCCAAGGGATTTGACCTTGCTGTAACACGACCTACATTATATCTTCGAACAATTCCAAAGACTAGCTCATCCGGCAGCTAGAACTGATATCGGAAACAATCTCATGTCTTTGCGCAACTTTATCGAAGATCAATTGCGACGTTCACGCCCCTCAAGGACGATATCAATGTCGCGTGCTTCATTCGATTGGTTATGAGGCTTTTATTGATGTTGCTCAGATTATGCTGACCACTGAAATTGCGAGTTGACAAAACGTGGTGGGCTCGGTGGGATGAGTAAAGACTTCAAGGTTAAGATTGAGGTAAATTGGCACGTGCTTGATAGCAATTGCTAGGTTATGCGTAGTAGTCTAAGCTCACCGGGAGTGTAGATGAGTTTGAATGAGTAAAGAAATCACCATCTCTACAACTCCCAAAACCATAAAATTTCACTCCATTATCCAGAGTTCAATTTCGCATAAAACAGTATAATAATGATTACGGCAATCTTATCTCCTCGCACGCGCTAAATTCCCACGTGCTTGAAATTATCAACCAGCATTGTATCTTACTACTCTAACCTTACAGTCTGATCAAAACGACTCTTGCATCAATTTGAGCACTCCTTCACGTTGATTTCAGGACTACTCTTTACGAAAGGCGGAATTTAATTCATCTGGAAATCTAGACATTCATGTTATTCCCCTAAAAAGCTTGATACAGAGGGGATTCCTTGGGTTAACAATGTGTGATATATCAAACATGGACGCTGGGAAGTGGTTTTGAAAATGAAGTTGAGGTGGACACACTTCATGAGTTAAATCAGATGAGGAGAGGGAAGAATAACTTGTGAGAAAACGATGAACAGAAACGACTTGAATCATTTGTAGAATGTATTTATGGATAACTAACTATTGATTCAATATACTTCCTATCATAAGGTTTTAACTGGAATGATGTATCTAGGTAGCTTAACCTTACATGCAGCCCTTGTAACATGCATTCAAACACACCAGAAAGAATCTAAACCAGACCATCAAGCTTGTGAATTAGATATTAAGTAAGGATATGCATAGATATCCTCAGTATTTCCATCTCGTATACGCTCAGAAGATGATGTAAAAATAGAGTTGTACAACAAGGACAAAGGGTATCTCGTGCTAACTCAGGAATGTGAAGCAAAACTCGCTCCCAGAAAGAGATGGTATCGTAACTTCGCGTAAACATTCGTCGTCCTCGATAATCGTCTTCACTCATCGTTCTTACTCGTCGTCTAGTATACTACTAGCTATTCTTCCAAAAATCGGGACTTCGCATCGGTCTAGTGTATCCGCTGTTTTAGGGGGGTTAGATGTGTGAAGTTGGATGTGGAGTATGTTTACCGATATAGATAAAATGAAGATAGAGTTAGGGAGGTAGAGAGGAAGATAGAAAACTTACCATCTAGATATGCTCTCCTAGTTAGCCACACTATCAAACTGATGTCTCCTAGGAGCAATAACCATGACATGAATAGGCCTAAGTCTGACATTAATACCAATGCTCAAACCATAGGATTTTGAGTCTTCTCTGGAGAAATTCCTGCATGTCTTAGGGCAGATAAGGGATAACTCACTCCAGGAAAACATCAAATGTACGACAAACATAGCCGTAAACAGTAAAGCGGATTGCCAAGCGTGAAACCTGTTGCCTTTGTTCAGCACTGTCTCATGCAATCATCATACTGCCTCTCCACATGAAGACCTTCCCTTCCCATTGGAAAGCCATTTCTCATGACTAACCTCACATAATCACTCTTCCTCTCCAGAACCAAAAGCAATACACCCCCAGCAGGCGGCAAAAGCAAATAAGCCAAACAAGCTTCATAATCTAACCTCAACGGAAGACTCGTTTCAAACTCATGTAAACCGTCTCTACTCCCCCCACCATACCCCGCACCTCCACTCACACTTCCCCCAACGTTATATCCCCCTCCAATCCTTCCGCTCTCCACATCATGATACCCATCTCCAGTGTTTATAGTCGGAAAATACCCATCTCTCTCTCGTTCTCTCGCCCATGGATTTGGAGTGGTACTTGGGGCAAAATTTCCATTTTTCGCAGCAGCATTACTAGTACTCTGCAGGAATGCTGGGCTTCGAACTCCGGGACTGAAAGATCTACGAATGGGCGAGATACTTTGACGAGGAGAAGAGGTCGAGGTACGTGGTGGTGGAGAGAGAGCGCGGGTTTCTTCTGGGGAAGCTTGGTAGGGTGCAAAATCCATCTTAAGATCTTCTTCTATTGCTGGAATGCGACGAGTTGATGAGAATGGGTGGTAGATAAGTTTTGAATATTAGATATGCGGAAGAAGATATTAATAGCAGAGATACCTTTCAAATGACTTATTATCAATAGAACAGATCACAGAATATTAATGAATTCGTTTGTTGAAACGAAAAAGTCTCTGTTTTTCTTTTCAGAAGGGCTTGTTGAAGAATCCCACTGAGATGTTTGTTTTATCGCGATAAACGCTTTACGAGATTATTATTATTCGATAACCTTAGCGGATCATCAATTGTTATCGGAATCAATCCTGAGGCATTCATGCATATCTATCACAGTGGCTTTCAATGGCGGAGTCAAAGTATCACGCCAGCGGGTCCAATTATTAACGATGTACGAAGTACAGAGTACAGAGTACAAATAAGAGCGGAGAATTTACGAGCCTCGCCCGGGATTATTATTGGAAATCGGAATGATACTTTGTACGAAGTATACTTCGTACTCGAGCATCATCGTGTATTACTCCGTCAAGAATCTCAAACCCCACATCACACGATACACGAAGAGCCTAATCGGTATACTAAAACAGAAGCTCGAGATACTATTTGATCCTGTATCCATGGTGGACTAGACGGCCGAAATTCATCATCATAAGTTTCGAAGTTTAATACCAAGGATCAATGTACACGTTTAGTCCAACAATTGGCTTGACAGATCATATGATGGGTAATGCTCAAGACTCCCAAGCCCAACAGTTGGCCCCGACTGATCATTATCATTTTAGTAGTCAGTCGAATCCGACTTGTGGCATTGGTATTACAGAATAACTTCTTTGAATATCATGCAAGTATGCGATTCATCTCATATATCGCCCATAACATCGGTAATTATCATAATCCAATGCTGCCCGTGACGATGGTAAATCGAGCCTTCAAAATATCCTTCCACTTGTATGCACGCACCCTTGTATCCCAAATCATATCCTCGATCCCTAACACCGTGCTCCGTATACCTGCTCTCTTTTCGTCGTAGGAAACAAAACCTTCCTGATATATTCAAATGCGCTGGGAGATTCATGAAATGCTGGCTAAATAGTCGGGGTTTCGTGATTCATCTAAACTCCACTGCCTGGAAACACCCCCTGTCCTCAACATGTTTCAACTCTAGCTGTTGAAATCTAAGAATCATATTAGCATCAGTGTCCCGGTTCCAAGTTGACAATTTACAATGGCCTCCAGGACTTACTTCTCGCTCTTCGCGTGAAAATATATTCCACTAACTCTTCCCTCAACCTGATTAAAGCAAATGTAATAGAAGCCTTCGAAACTTGCACCGCTAATTGTCCTAACACGATGATCAGGAACTAGGAAGTGTTCCTTCCATCTCATAAAAATATTATCTCGTTGTGCTAGATTTGGTATATGACAGTTTCCTTTCTTCGCAGACTTTTGAAAAGGGCGGAAGGCTTGAAACTTTGCCCAGTGTGTTAAATCGACTTTGTCTGTAGACCCCCAATCTTCGTGTTGGGTGAAGAATGAATATTTTGATCCAATGATTTCACCTTCAAAATAGGTCGTAAGAGTAGGGTGGTCTTCGGTCAGGCCTGTTGACAAAGTATTCGATTAGTACAAAGACTTCAGTGCCATATTGAACACTCGCATACCTTGAATGCGTAAATATCCACACAAAAATGATTCTCTCATGTCGACGTGTTTAATTTCGACCTGTACGTCATAAACCTGTCGTTCTGATTGTTGTGTGCCATGAAATTTGCTACCCGGTCGTAATTTGGAAGATGGTGACGATGGTAACATCTGTATTTTGTTAGTAGGTTTGAAGGCATCGGCACAAAGTTAATTGCACTAACTCTAACGTTCGAAAAATCGTAACCTAAGGATGGCGATGGAATCCGTGGATTAGTGGCGGTATGCATTTCAGCTTCATCCTGCTTATCTCCTTCCGCACTGACAGGAGATAATATATCGGGCCCATTTGCTTCATCATCGATATCCATGCTTTTGGTGTTTCGCAGATGAGTTTGAGAAGTCGGTGTCATATCAACTCTTCGTAAATCATGAGGTGGAGGTGTGGGTTGTTGTGTAGCTCTTGAATCTAGAATCGGAGAATCGTGTGTACCTTCCATCTCTGGTATGCTCCAAGTAGACCTGTCATCTTCAGGGGGGCACGATATGTGCGATATCGTAGCTCCAACTCTGGACTCGTTATTTGGAGAAGGGGTGGGCATTGAATCGCGCCGGCACCAGCCAAGCTTGTCAAAGAGAAATTGATAGTACAGTTGAAGTATTAGAACAACAATGTATTGATGATAAGATTAGATGAATGGAACCGATGTGGGTAAATGGAAGAAATGCCTTGAAATTGTCGAGAAGATGAGATGATGAAAAGATGAGAAGACGAAAAGATGTTCAGATATGATAAAGGCAATGCAACTCTAGCACGGTCATTGGCGCACCACGCTAAAATGTGAGTTAAGTGTTCTAAGCTATTTCCAAAACGGTTTAGTTTCAAATTTCCGCTTTTCCCCGCAAGTTGAATCCAAAAAAAGAACAAAAATTGATTAATTGATGGATGCCCAGGAGGTGATGAAGAACTCCAAGTTCTATACGTAGGTATTCTTTCCAGAACATCTTCGCCAGTGCCTTCAACTTATACTCCAAAAGACATGTACTGGCGATACTTTATTTGGACTTCAGACGCAACTTGAGTAGTTTCCTTGATCATTTTATGATCCAATTTTCGATGTTCGTTTTCTACAATGTTGTCATTGTAGACCTTTCAGTGTCACTCCGGAAAAAAGGAAAAAAGGAAATTATTTGATTGAACTGTTGGAAAGGTCCACCACATACCATTAGTGTGTACCATTGATGAAGTGGTCTCTCATGAATCGGCAATAATTTGGTACCTTCCCATAAAGAAGTAATTCACATGTATTTGCAAGCATGAACAACCCAAAGTAGCCCAAAAGGAGTCCACGGTACCATTAGTGATTCGACAGCACATCTGAGGGTACTAGTCTGGATGAATGCCGAGGTACTTGCTCAGTGATTACAGAATTCGTATGCGTGGTGAATTGCTGGCGCATGCAACTGATGGGAGTAGATTTATCTTGCGGGGCTTGCTCCCTTGGTTGCAAGAGAAGTGGTGCTTGGAAAATGGAATGAAGTTGTTTGTCAGGTAAGGGATTCGGTAAAGATGTTCATGCATGCAGTGATGCCAGGCCTAGTTCACAGTAATGGTCGAGTCTTTTAATAACTCCGACGCAACTTAACTTGGCATATCTGACAAACATTACACGATGTACAGGATGAACGGCACACAAAAGGATATAAATTTGAGTATTATATCACATTATCACATCAATTTCAAAGACGCAAACCGTGTTTCAAGAGTTCGACCATTTCTCTGGTCTCTACCACTCATCAATTTCTCGTCCTATGCTGATAGATGAACAGTTTCCTTATCTAGAAGTTAGAGATGGTGTTCTGGTACAAGTGGCTACCTCATCCGAGCATAACTCAACGAAGCAGAAGGAATTGTGTGTCGGCATCCATCTTGGTCAGTTTTGACTGATCAGGCACAGCAGCACTATCATCTCATAACATTTGAAAATTTGACAAAAACCGAGTAGATTTCTGTATCATTAGAATTGTAAACAAACAAATGGCTTTTCCTCAATTGGTATCCATCTGTCTTGCAAATAAATCAACGCCTAACTCCTTCTTCCCCTGGCCTTTTTGTGAAATGAAATCTTTAAATAGGCTTGATCTTGAAGTGCAATGCTATCAATGAAAATACCAATGCTTTGAGATCCTGTACAAGGTAGTAGAATACTCGAAGGCCTTCTGGGTCTTGAGATTCTGTGACGTCAACGAGAGATCCGATTTTGGCAGTCTAGTTTTGATTAGTGACATAATATCGCACTCGAGGAAACTAGGCATACCTCGAAGGAGATAACCTCGCTGCCTATTTTGATTTCCAATTCTTGACGTCCATCTTTGTTCTTCTGAGGCCATTTGCTATCGTCTTCCCTATTTCGATATAAGCTTCGCGTGCCATGCTATTTGAACTTGAGAAGCTTACTTCATGATCTCACTTGTTTTGATGATCCTCTTGATTTCCTCAACCAGCAAAGAGCTAATATTCACTATGAACCGTAAAGTCAGTTCGAGAGAGATCCATAGAGCATCAAATACCACGTACTTTCTTTGCGGATCAAGGAATCGTTTCGATAATTGGAATTGTTGGCATAACGTGCGGATGCGCTTCTTCCATCTCCTAAGACTCGAAAGTCGAATTCTAAATCCATTGTTACTATCCGCGCAAATTGTAAACAACTTATCAATACTCACCAAGAAATTCGTGTCCATGTCGGCCTTGGTGCCCAGAACTATTGAGATAAATTAGCAAATTCATACTCAGGAATTAATATTAACTCACTAGTAGCGAATATAAAAGGGCTCGTTGAGAGTAGACATAATGGCGGAGACCTTTATTAGTGTTGTCTGCTGTCTGTTTGATAAAGAAGGCTGAAGCTATTGATAGCTTCCTGAGATTCGGTCATGAATTTAGCTTAAGGCTAGAATCTGGCGGGGATACCATTTTGTGCCTGACAATCTAAGGCTGAAACAGGCCACGCTAAGTCTTTCGAACACAGCACCCAGAAAGCTGGACACAGTAGTGATAATATTCCCAAGAATACGCATGTTCGATGCGTAACTTCCAACGCATTATCTTAAATTACTATTAATTCTACTTCCAATTCCTACTTCTTGAGATTTCTCCAGCTTTCAATCTGCCACAACCTCAAAGTATCAAATAACCTCGAATCCAGAAATCCACCCTTAATACATAGTCAAGAACGAAATAAACACCTTCCAGCTCTGCAGCTTCAAATATAGCCAATATGGCGACCTTCTTAGAACAGTCGTACAGCTTGGTACATCAGGACAATGCCGCAGATGTACCTTCAATGTCAGATTTGAGGACGCAGTTGGAGAAAGGGACGGATGAGAGTAAAGTCGAAACTATGAAGCGCATTCTCACAGTTATGCTGAATGGAGATCCAATGCCCCAATTACTCATGCATATCATTCGATTTGTTATGCCTTCGAAGTACAAACCATTGAAGAAGCTTCTTTACTTTTACTACGAAATATGCCCAAAGTTAGATGCGAGTGGGAAACTCAAGCAGGAAATGATCTTGGTTTGGTAAGACCACCCTGAGCTGCAAAACTTGTGATACTCGTATTGACATATGCCACAGCAATGGTATAAGAAACGATCTCCAACATCCCAATGAATACATCAGAGGAAACACATTGCGATTTTTGTGTAAGCTCCGCGAATCAGAACTGATTGAACCTTGTCTCGCCCCAACCAAAGCATGCCTTGAGCATCGTCATGCATATGTCCGTAAGAACGCAGTTTTTGCAGTGGCTTCTATCTTCCAACACTCCGAGAGTTTGATCCCAGATGCCCCTGAATTGATAGCCGCATTCTTGGAGACGGAGAGTGATCATACCTGCAAGCGCAATGCATTTGCTGCATTGGTTAGCATCAGCCATGAGAAGGCTTTGGCATATCTCAGTAGTGTCTTTGACGGCATTCCAAATGCAGACGAGCTGCTACAGCTTGTGGAGCTGGAGTTCATTAGAAAGGATGCAGTTCAGAACTCACAGAATAAGGTATTTTCCACGATCATAGAACCAAACATTGCTAACATCTGTAGGCACGATACTTGCGACTCATCTTCGACCTTTTGGAAGCTGGCGCTTCTACCGTCGTTTACGAAGCTGCTTCATCTCTCACAGCATTGACCAATAACCCGGTAGCGGTGAAGGCGGCAGCCTCGAAGTTTATCGAACTTAGTATCAAGGAGGCCGACAACAATGTTAAGTTGATTGTTCTCGACAAGGTGGACTTGTTAAGGCAGAAGAATGAGGGAGTTCTAGACGATTTGACAATGGAGATTTTGCGCGTTTTATCAAGCACCGACATCGATGTACGAAAGAAGGCTTTGGATCTAGCTTTGGAGATGGTTTCTAGCAAGAACGTCGAGGATGTTGTCCTACTCTTAAAGAAAGAGTTGTCGAAGACTGTCGACCAGGAATATGAGAAGAACGCCGAGTATCGACAACTCCTGATTCACTCCATACATCAATGCGCAATTAAATTCTCAGAAGTCGCTGAAAGCGTTGTTGATCTCCTCATGGACTTCATCGCCGATTTCAATAACACATCAGCCGTTGATGTTATCTCCTTTGTCAAGGAGGTGGTCGAGAAATTCCCCAAACTTCGACCATCCATAGTTGAGCGTTTAGTGTCAACTTTAAGCGAGGTTCGGGCCGGCAAAGTGTACAGGGGGGCCCTCTGGATAGTTGGAGAATACTCTCTAGAGGCCAATGATATCAGAGATGCTTGGAGGCGTATCAGAGCTAGCTTGGGCGAAATCCCTATCTTGGCTTCCGAACAACGTCTCCTCGATGAAGCAACAGATGGGCAAGAGCCAAAAGAGCCAGAACAGACCAATGGACATTCAAAAGCAGCCCCAACAGGTTCAAGGAGAGTCCTTGCAGACGGTACTTATGCCACTGAAAGCGCCCTCACAAGTCAATCTGCCGTCACAGCCAAGCTGGAGGCTGTCAAGGCCGCTCAAAAACCACCTCTTCGTCAACTTATCCTCGATGGAGATTATTATTTAGCTTCTGTTCTTTCTTCTACCCTTACAAAACTTGTCATGCGCCACTCTGAAATCTCATCAGATACTGCCCGAACTAATGCCTTACGCGCCGAGGCCATGTTGATCATGATTTCAATCATTCGTGTAGGACAATCACAATTTGTGAAAGCGCCAATTGATGAAGATTCGGTTGACAGGATTATGTCTTGTGTTAGATCACTTGCCGAGGTGGCCCAGAACAAGCAACTCGAAAGCGTGTTCTTGCAGGATACCAGAAAAGCATTCAGAGATATGGTTCAAGTAGAGGAGAAGAAGCGAGCGGCCAAGGAAGCAGTGGAGAAAGCTAAATCGGCTGTTCAAGTCGATGACGTCGTCTCAATTAGACAGCTCGCAAAGAAGAACACGATTGACGGTGCAGACGAGATCGAACTAGACCTTGAAAAGGCGACTGGAGGAGATTCCTCAGTAGAAGATCTTTCATCAAAACTTAGCCGAGTTGTGCAACTCACTGGTTTCTCTGATCCCGTCTACGCTGAGGCATATGTTACAGTGCATCAATTTGATATCGTTCTAGATGTTCTTCTAGTAAATCAAACAACAGAGACTCTTCAGAATTTGTCTGTAGAATTTGCAACACTTGGAGATCTCAAGGTTGTGGAGAAGCCAACTACTCAAAATCTTGGTCCACACGATTTCCAAAATGTACAAGCTACCATCAAGGTTTCTTCAACAGACACTGGAGTCATATTTGGAAATGTCATTTATGATGGCGCAAGCTCAACCGAGAATAACGTGGTCATCTTGAATGATGTGCATGTCGATATTATGGATTACATCCAACCTGCTGTATGCACCGAAACTCAATTCCGTACAATGTGGACAGAATTTGAGTGGGAGAACAAGGTCAATATCAATTCAAAGGCCAAGACATTACGAGATTTCTTAGATCAACTTATGGCTTGCACAAACATGAATTGCTTGACTCCGGAGGCTTCATTAAAGGGTGATTGTCAGTTCTTGAGTGCTAACCTTTACGCACGAAGTGTATTCGGTAAGTTACATCCTTCATACTACTACGAAGTGTGATGATTCACTAACAAAATGCTAGGGGAGGACGCTCTTGCTAACCTCAGCATCGAGAAAGAAGGCGAAGACGGACCGGTGACAGGATTTGTTCGTATCAGAAGCAGGTCTCAAGGTTTAGCGCTCAGTTTGGGGTCATTAAAGGGGCTAAATAAGGTTGTAGAGGTTGCATAAGGAAGTGAAAAATGATGGCAAAATCTGTAGCGTCAGTTTATTGCGTCCGGGCTAACGGACATTGGGGAACAGTTACAACTGCTAATAAGATGAAGATGAAGAGGAAAATAGGATGCCACTGGAAGGCTGAAGCAGGCTCAACCAAAGGCGTCAATCTAGTTCAACTCGTGTTGTTACATGTAAGCCTGCCTTTTATTTTGGTCGTTGAAATGATGATGATTGGGGGATTTTGCGCAAAAAAAGGCACAAAAAGGAGTTTTATCTAGAACCAGAGAGGCATCACTCGAGTACCATAAAATATTTTGAATTCTCATTGAAGTTCCATTGCTCGTTTGTACATACTACCTAGCTACTGCCCAACTACTAACATGTGAGATTTGCCTCTATGCCAGACATCCTCCGCTCCTGTTGGTACACGAAACGAGGAGACAAAATCAAAGACCTCCGGATGCTGCACCTTGTCAGAACTCAATTTTAGTTCTCCAGGTATGGTGGACCTGAATATCCACAAAATAGTGCAATTATAAACAACTAGCATTCACGCAGCAGGTAGTACCCTCGTACCTTGGCCCGGTAGGTAGTGTAGTAGTAGTAGTAGTAGTAGTAGTAGTAGTAATAATAATAATAATAATAGTAATAAACCGACCCGTATCACCCCTCGTCTTAATGAATGACAGAAATTCAAACACTCCCTCGAGACTCCGTACACCACAATCAATCCTATCTACAATTATCAAGAAAGGGAACCCATGACTGGGTTGAATGATCGGAAATTTTGAAGTTTGTGTTCCGTGCATCTATCTTGTTTTGAAGCTCGGCTTCTTAGGAACTGTGATGGGCCCCTTGCATTTGTAAGTACCAAATGAGAGAGTACTAACAAATAACCCTAATAAATCTTTCAAACCACCCTTTAGTGAACAAAGGAACAGTCTCGAGAAACCTAAACATAAATTTATCCCATTTTCTGTGCATGACACATTTTGACAGTCACCATCTTTAGTCACTCGTTACAATAGCTGCCATATTATGATTGGATAGACAGAGACAAGAGGTATCATATTAAGAGAGAGAGAAAGCAAGAGAATGCTTGGGATATCGACACAGTTTAGGTGACCATGGCTTCTTCTATGGATTCGAATCATCCGTTTATCGATACGATGGGAATTACTAGTGACGAATATGTGCGAGAGCAAGCGTTTGTGACCGATGGAACGTTGACGGTAGGAAGAAATGCTTCTTTGACCTTGGGAACGGACTCTTTGATTGTGCTTGGTGAGTTTGGAGGGTCGGAGTTTAAGGAAATTCAAGTGGTTGTACTGATATGGTGGAATGTAGACGAGGCTTTTGAAAAGGAGAGCGCAATTTGTTGTGGATTTTGGACTTTTGCTTCGAGTGAGTCCGCTAAGTGTCTCCTGTATATCTACGTCATACTGATATCTTGCACAGGTTCTGCGAATACTAGACCAATTCCTTTCTACAACGTCCTCTGGGCGGAGATATTGGACACGAAAGAGCTTGCGATTCGATACGCTGCGCCGACATCGAAATCGAGAGTACAACCTACAGAGCTAAAATATGCGATTGAATCACATTCCACGGAACAAGTCGA